AACCTCCTGGGGATTCTTCTCTCTCGGTTTATTCGCTGGCTGTTGTCGAGCCTCTGCGCCCGGCGTAGGACTCGTAATCACCCCCATCTCCGTGAGAGTTTTGGCTGGTCCCCGTTTATTCATCCCCTGCTCACTAGGCGGCAGATAATTGTAGTGATACTCATTTCCGCTTCTAGTGGCAAAGACTTCTTGTTCCTCTTCATAGAGCGGGAAGGTATGAGCTTCATCGCCATCCTCCTCAAAGATTACGGATGTAGCATTGCAGGACTTGCCTTTGCCCTTTCTTTTCGAGGAAGTCGCCCACTGTTCATCTTCAATGAGATCAGGGTGAACCCAGAGGATTTCGCCGTTTGGGGCTGTGTGTGGCACAAGCCCTTTTTGGCGCTGTCCATGTGGGTCATCGTTCACAGTCTTCATCCCTACTTTGGTGATGCGCTCTGGTTTGAACCATGTTGTGGGCACCGATCCAAAGCTGATTGACACCGCATTTGCTCCGACATTCTTGGACGGCTTCGGGGTTATGACGCCTACATCAATTAGCGCCTGGATCTTGTCCTTGAGGTGGTAGCATGATTTGGTAGGGTGATGGACCGCTCTGTGGTATGCGCAATACTTCGGATCCGTCACTTTGCTAGCCCTTCTTGATCCACGATCACTGGCAGCTGGATTTTGTTATTCTCTAACAGGTACTTAAAGATGCTGGGAACTTCGTCATCTTTGAAGGAGTACACCTTGGGGAATCTTGGCTCTGAAGATTTCTGCTTCTGAGACCGTTGTTGCCATTGTCCCCGAGGTTGTTGTGGTGCTTGTTGCTGCTGCTGTTGCTTAGGTTGCAATTGGAAAGTTTGATTAGCATCAACTGCATTAGCGTGTGCCTTACCTTTCCCTCGTGGGACGAAATTTTGCTGTGGAGCATTCGTCGCCGGTTGGCCTCTTTCCGCCTTCTTCCTTCTGAGGAATCGCTCGGCTTGCTCTCCTCGGACCTTCAGATCCTTCCATGTCTTGGACGGTGTTGTCCCCATTGCTTCCAACACGTCCAACGCGAGGTTGTTGTGGCAAGTCTGGAGAATGAATTCCTCGGTGATCGGGTCCCGACAGTTCATCGCCTTGTTCCGGAACCTTTTGACGAATGTGTCAACCAATTCCCCGTCTTTCTGCTTCTCGTCCAGCAACGACCCGATGGATATCTCTGTGTCGTCGTCGAAGAAATTAGCGAGGAATTTGGTCTCCATGTCGTCCCAGCTATTCACGCTTCCTGGCTTGAGGCGGCGATACCAATCGAAGGCGGCTCCACGAAGAGTGCCAACGAAGGACCGCACCATCAGAGGCTCATTATCAGAAATAACCCCCAAGTGTGATTTGAAGTAAATTAAATGTTGAGTAGGTGAACCCATCCCATTAAACGGCGTGAAGTTAATTAGGTTGAACTTCGCCGGATATGGGATCGATTCCCACTCTCTTGGGTATGGACAGGGAATGCCTGTTTTCTTCGTCTCTTGAGCGGAGATCAATGTGTTGATTTTGCTCTCGAGGTTCTTGATCTTCAAGTTTTCACCTGTGTTTTCGTTGGCATTCTCGTTATCACCCCCTGCATTGACGGAAGGATTATTTGCATTATGAGTCTCGTTTGCATTTGTGTCCTCATCTTCCAGATTAACCTGGTTACGACGACTTGGCTCGCCTTGCTGGTTCGTCAATGCTTGGATTTGTTGGTCATGTATTTCTCTCATGTTCTGCATGGCCATCTGCATTTCAAACCTGAAGGCCTCCTGTTGTTTAGCCATGGCTTCTTCAAGCATCTTGGCCACTTGTTCTGCACTTATCATAAGTGCCTCGCGGGGTTGCCCCTCGCTGGATACTGTATTGTCAGATGTGACCACCGAACTGGCATCCGACTCTTCATCTTCTGAAGGTACCCTTGTCCGAACCCTACCGTCAGTTTTTCGTTTGATGGCTCCAGACTGCAGACGGGTTATATGCTGGGATGCTTTCAGAATTGACTCGAGATTATCCCGTGCCGATGTCCCTCTGCTGGTCATGTTAGTGGTGACCCTCGAAAATTCTCCAACTTCGACTACTCTTCTTCTTCGTCGGAAACGCCTAGGCCTTGGTTTTGGCGTTTCATTACTGAGCCTTTCGAAGACCGAAACTCTTTCGGGGACCGCCTTGATGCAGTTGCATTCAAACAATACTGCCCGAATGAGCTTGGAACAGGGGCATTGAGTTTCCCGTTCTCGGGGACTCCTTTTCCTGGTTTTATTCGTACCTCCAGCACGATAGTACAACTCGTCTGCTTGACGATCGGAGTAACTTATCGTGTGTTGGCATGACTTCTCAGGTATAACACTATCGTCATCTGACGATAATGTTTCCTTCTGAGGAAGAACTGCCTTCTTTGGGCTTTCAAAAGTCACGCGCCTCGAAACATGCCTTTTTGGGCATGAGTTCTCAGTGGGCTCCTGGACTTTAATGCGCAAATTGGTGCGCGTAGCTGCCATGATTTCTTTGGCATGTTGAGGGCGGCGGCGACCCCCAGCATGTTGAGTCGTCCGGGGCTTCTTCATCGGGCCCAAATGCTCTTGAACTGGAGCCTTGCCTCACTCATCGTGATTTCTTCCTTCGGGACGATTGTGCATGATCTCCCGGAGAAGCTATTGAAAAATCATCGGCCTTGGGTTGATTCGCCAGTGGTTGAACTTTTGTTGGAGGCTGCTTTGGCCTCCATACTTGGCGGGTTGGTGATGGCTTTTTGGCCACTCTTTCTTCCTCCAATTTCTTGGCCTTCTGCACAAGAATTTTTTGCTTGTGCGAGTAACGCGCGGCGTTTGTGAATCCGCTATTCAAGTGTCGAACGGTTCCGTTTGACCCGGATCCATTCGTTCGTTGGCGGCTTGGAGGAGCTGTCATTCTTCAGTTGTTGAGGCTGTTTGCCTCTCCTGTTCTTCAGATCCGCGTTGTAGCGGACTCCGTCTGTAGACTCCATCGCCTTAGCGAATTGCCGCGTAAGGCGTTGACGTCGCCTCTGGCAGGCTCTCTTTGAGAGAGTCACTACGCCCTCAATAGTAGAGGCGTCGGCAAGAACAGGTTTGACCTCGTTGGAGGTCAGTGGAACTTCACCCGACGCAACTTGGGCATCAGTTGGGGTGAGAGCTTCGTTGGCGTTCTGAACTTCTTCAAACCAACGAACTTTTCTCCTGGAGGAGAACTTCTTGGACTTGCGGGGGGAGGTAGATCCGGACGAGGATGAGAGGTACTCCTCGAACTTGGCCTGGTCGAATTCATACTCGACCTCCTCCTCGACCGGGATTGAGATCCGCGGCTGCGACGTGACGATCTAGTCAGCGAGATCGGTGGCTCCCACTGTGGTCGCCAGATTGTTCGCGGGAAAAATTGTGTTCTTCATTGATGTCATTGCACTCTTTGGTAACTGTTTTTCGATTACAAAAGATCCGGTCTTTTTATAAGATCCGGTTACAACGAGATCAAAAAAGAAATAAAAAATTACAACTTTCCTTTTTCGAACAAATCGCGAGTTCCTGTTTTGCGGTCACTCGCTTTTGTGGGTTCTTTGCCAACGCCAGGGTTTATCCGTGGACTACCGCGTGATCTAGATCCGGTCGGATCTACATGATATAACGGGTATTATTTCACGAAGGAAATAATAGCCGGGGGGGATTAATTCACCAAGGAAATAATCGCCCTCTCGGGATCAAAGGCCAAGCTTTGATCCGGAGTATAATCACGTAGATCTCAGATCCGATCCCTCTCGAACTCCTGCCTTTTCTGACGTGGACGATCGCCGAGCATCGGATCTGAAAGAGCAAGTCTTCAAAGTCACAAAGCTTCAATCTTTCTAAGTTTTGAGCCTTCAATCCAGCAGAGCTTCGCCGTCCAAAGTTCCAACCTCTAACAAATGAGCAAAGGGGGTCTATTTATAGGCTCTCAGATCTGTGCCTTGGCACAGATCTGGGCCGACCACCTATAGGTGTTTGGGTTTTGCCGTTTTTTCCGGTCTCGTGGTTGATTTGGACTCTGATTTGTTGATCTTAATCCTGATTTGGCAGTAGACCCGCTTCGTTGTTGATCCGGACTCTGATTTGACAGCTCGAATTCCAATATGGCAATAAATCTGCCTCGGTGTTTGAGTTCAAATCCGTTCTATGGTTGGATGACTCGTTGACTCACCAGACTGTTAGCTTGATTCCGCATGCGAATGGATGTATTCCATTGTTTGCGTACGGTTCGTTAGCCTCGTTGCCTCGTTAATCCTCTTTGTTGTGTGTCACTTGGCTTCGGCGTTGTGGACTGACGCTCGTGTTTGGATATGTCGCCCGATAGTTCGTCGGTTTGTGCCGAGCTGTGTTAAGGGATCTATAAGCAATTTTATACGCCTACACTCCCCCCCTCCAAAGTATTTCAGTCTCGTTCTTTTATAGAAGAGTCTGGAATACTTTAGCCCTCGTCATCAGCCACGCCTCCGACGGCATTCGAGCTCAGCCCTCAGGTTCATCGCCGCCTCCGGAGCTCGACCAAGCCCTCGATGTCAGCCCTCATGGCTTCGAACAAATTGAAAGCATCGACGTCTTCGAATTCTTCAAAATCAAAGCCTACCTCTTCTAAATGCAATAATCCTCCAACTTCGTAAGTAATTTGCCATGATATATTTAATTTTTAACTCTTTCTGAATTATAATTTTGTTGTAAGCCATGATGTATAATGTTTGTCTGTCAGTCCAATGATGAAATTATGATATTTAATCAGTGTGTCTTTCTGAATTATAATTTTGTTGTAAGCCATGATGTATAATGTTTGTGTTAATAAACTTGTTAATATGCGTCTTCATTTGCCCAAATATATTTAATTTTTAACTCTTTCTAAATTATAATTTTCTTGTAGGGCTAAGATAACACACTTGAGAATTCCGACCAATTTGTGTTATTTTCGAGATTTAATTGATAAGTGAATAATATTAGATGAAAGACACATAAAAGCCCTACAGACGACACCTTTTCACAACTTTCTCAATATACCCACATCCTTGAGCAATGAGCAAATAGCAATTGATTGCTTGATTCAAAATTTTAATCCCGATAAATGCTCATTCATGATTGGGAATAAAAATTGTGTGTTCGGTATAGATGATATTCACCGAATTACCGGATTGCCAAAGGAGGGAATTCCGATAAAAATGAGTGGGGCAGCGGCTAATACAATCTACACCTATTTTGTAAAGAATTATAAGAAAGCCGATGAGGAAAAGAAGGCGGTGATTTCGGGGAAGCGCGATAGAATGGCCGAGATGATTGTAGATATGATTAATGAAGACCCTATAATATGTGTGAAACTTATTGTGGCTTTCATTATCGGCTTCATATTATGCCCGCGGACATGTAAGACATGTCCCTTGTGGGCGTTTAGATATGCGGAGCAGTTATCAACTTTGCATAAATATAATTGGTGCCATGCGGTGTTCACTCTTCTTTGCAAAGAGATGAGTAAATCAAAGAAGTCTCTTAGTATGCGGGAATTAGGTCAGCGCTCAAATGCCGGGTACATGGGTGGTTTTTCCTCCGTTTTACTGGTGAGTTACATGAATATTAATTTGTATATCTTTTCATTTTGATAATGATTATTGTTTATGCACATGCTAATGTGTAGTTTCTTTTTTGTAGGTTTGGTTTTATGAAAAAGTGGGGGAATTAGAGTATACTTCTGATGTTGAAAGGTTACCGCTGCTCTTTTGTGTGACGAGTACTGGAAAGTGGAGGAGGACTACTATGAACAAATTATATAGAGTCCCGAAGTTGGTTACGGATAATGACCAAGAGAATACTCCTCTTATTCATACGGCATCGCCATTAGTATTTGTACATATCGTTGTTCTAATAGTTCATTATTTTATGTCCCTTTTGTTAGTATCTATGTTTGCAACTATAGTATACGTACTAATACTAGCTTTTTTTGTCAAATAGGAATCAAGGAAAGCTGAATTAATTTTCTTAATTGCGGAGAAGACGTACGAGTTGAATGAGCTCACTACAGAATTACGAGAATTAGAAGAGCGTAGTGCTAGATGCCAAAAAAAAACCAAGGAGAAAGAGGATGACGGAAATGTAACTGAAGAAAAAAAAATCAAAGAGGATATGGAAGCTAAGGAATATGAGAATTTGGAAGGAACTGGGGAAGCCGATTTATGTGATGACTTTGTGATGAGCGCAAGAGACGTGAGAATTTTAGAAGATGCTCGGTGAGTTTAGTTTTTTAAATTTTCTTGCAATTTTAATTTTTATATTTTCCATATAATTCTTGTGTAACTCTTTGTTAATTATATGCCTTCTCGACTCTATAGAGATGTTTCTCAAAAAGATGAAGGTGGTAATGAGAATAATAGAGAAACGCCATCTATCAAATGGGCTGTCGGAAAGAGGGAGAGGAAGGATGGACCCTCTGTTACTTCACCTTATATGCATCTAGATCAACCAAAGGAAGGCACAAAGAAGAGACGTGTCATCCAGATATTGAATAGTCCTGAGGGGAAAAAAAGTGCAAAAATCAAGAAGGCTTCATACCTACATCTAGAGACTATCCAGGTAAGGCACTGCCGTTTGATTATGAGAACAATTTAATTGAAGACTTTCTACAATCAAGAATGAACAGGTAACTGTTACTGACTTATTTAATAATAATCTTTGAATTTACTTAATTCTAGTAGCAATTTTCTCACAATGTACTTGCATATAGTGATACGTACATTTGGAAGTGTGCCGAAGCAAGCGTATCTCGCTTAGATGCTTATATACTATTAACGGGTGGTGAACTTAGTGACGATGTAGGTTCTGAACAATTGTGTTATTGTTTGTTTGATGTTGTATATAAAATAATTTATATTAACTATTTTATTCATTCATGGTAAATTTTGTAGGTGATCGATGTATTTGTTATTCGGCTTTGTAACAAGATTGAAACAACTAATAGTTATGATCGAAAGATACATGTCACCAGACCTTGGCTTGCAGTAAGTATATCCTTGTTTTTTTCACTAATTGGTGGATATTATTATTATGTTATCCCACAATGTTGACATTATTGCATCTTTTAGCAAGCATTTCTAGAAGGAAATCTTGAAATGGTGGCAAAACGAATGAAGGAAAATGTTTCTCAGCAGAAGTTCTTGGAGTGTGAAAGAATTCTGATCCCGATTGTCAGCTCCGGACATTGGCACCTGGTAGAGTTAGTGAGAGAGGAGACAAAATTCTATCACTACTCCTCAATCAACTCCCCCATTTATACCGCCGATGCTGTGAAATTTATAAATAAGTTTATGAGTTTCATTGAGAGTAATTGGGGATTGGGGAAATTGGAGCATCATGGTCTTGTGTCAGTTGCCGTGCCACAACAAGGACCGTAAGTGTTTCATGCATTTCTAATTTAATTGTTCATTTTTTTGTTTCACAGTCATTTTCAATATTGTAATATTTTTCCCTTAAATGCAGAACGTTAGATTGCGGGATCTTTATGATTGAATTCATTAACAGCATTGTAGAAAAACGGTCGATAACAATTTCAAAAGGAGATTGTGCAAAATATAGAGCAAAGTTTTGTGCTGCTCTTTTGTATGCACACGATTCACCTTTTTTGTAAATAATATTTTAATTTTCTCCAAGGTTTTTTTGTTGTGTATTCAATGTTGTAAGTATGTTCATGTTGTTAATATGTTGTTAATTGTTTTGCATGTACATTTACAGACAACTACGTTGTTGTTGTGTGTTGTAAGTATTTTCATGTCAAATGAGAAGTGAACTAGGGCTAACATAGCCACCAGAGCAAACACTTGTGCTAGAAATAACGTCAGCCCACAGTAGAACTAACTCGAGAAGGGATAGAACTAACAGGAGGGCAGCTAGAACTAACAAGCGTGAGGTAGGGCTAACATGGCCACCAGAACAAACACTTTTGCTAGAAATAACGCCAGCCCGCAAAAGAACTAACTCGAGAAGGGATAAAACTAACAGGAGGGCAGCTAGAACTAACAAGCAGTGAGGTAGGGCTAACATGGCTACCAGAGCAAACATTTGTGCTAGAAATAACGCCAGCCCGCAGTAGAACTAACTCGAGAAGGGATAGAACTAACAGGAGGGCAACTAGAACTAACAAGTAGTTAGGTAGGGTTAACATGGACACCAGAGCAAACACTTATGCTAGAAATAACGCCAGCCCGCAGTAGAACTAACTCGAGAAGGGATAGAACTAATAGGAGGGCAGCTAGAACTAACAAGCAGTTAGGTAGGGCTAATAGGAGGGCAGCTAGAACTAACAATCAGTTAGGTAGGGCTAACATGGCCACCAAAACAAACACTTGTGCTAGAAATAACGCCAGCCCACAGTAGAACTAACTCGAGAAGGGAAAGAACTAACAGGAGGGCAGCTAGAACTAACAAGATGTGGGCTAGGGCTAACATGGCCACCAAAACAAACACTTGTGCTAGAAATAACGCCAGCCCGCAGTAGAACTAACTCGAGAAGGGCTAGAACTAACAGGAGGTGTTGTGTATTCAATGTTGTAAGTATGTTCATGTTGTTAATATGTTGTTAATTGTTTTGCGTGTACATTTACAGACAACTACGTTGTTGTTGTGTGTTGTAAGTATTTTCATGTTAAATGAGAAGTAAGCTAGGGCTAACATAGCCACCAGAGCAAAAACTTGTGATAGAAATAACGCCAGCCCGGAGTAGAACTAACTCGAGAAGGGATAGAACTAACAGGAGGGCAGCTAGAACTAACAAGCAGTTAGGTAGGGCTAACATGGCCAACAGAACACACACTTGTGCTATCTAGAAATAACGCCAGCCCGCAGTAGAACTAACTCGAGAAGGGATAGAACTAACATGAGGGCAGCTAGAACTTACATATCCAATAGAACCAAAACTTAAACCAAAACTTAAAGTTATCTGGAGGTGGAAATAACACGAGATCAGCTAGAAATATCACATTTAATCTAGAACTAACATAGTCATTAGAACACAACTAGAACTAACATAGGCATTAGAACCCACATTTAAACTATACCTTGCGTTATCTAACACGAGAATGGCTAGAACTAACTCGAGAAACGGCTAGAACGAACATTAACCCAGGTAGAACTAATCTAACACGAGAATGGCTAGAACTAACTCGAGAAACGGCTAGAACGAACATTAACCCAGGTAGAACTAATGTATTCAATAGATCCAACACTTAAACTAACATTATTCACTTGCACTTGGCTGTGAAGGTTACCGAGATATTGGATAGGATTGATTACCTTTTCGGCGCAATCTTTTTCGGATCTCCCCATCGCCGACTCTCTGTAGACTCTTCCGCATTTATTTGTACTTTTACCCTCTCCCCTACACCTTCAAGTTCCCCTATATATATGGTGTTGTAAAATCATGGCTAGTTCCTGTACATCCGATGAAGGTCATTGCCTGCCTGGGATGCACGCTGATGTGGATCTTGGATATCCCTCACGCTGATGAAGATGTTATCCCCATTGTCTTTGCTCTTAGTTCCATCATTGGGTGAATATACCTGGCTCCCTTCAAAGAGTTTGTACATTAACGCCCAGTTAAGATTCATAAGCGCATGGAATACGATCAATTCAGATGGGTCATGCGTGAATCACTTGGGGAGGCATGCAAATGCTGGAGAGAATTGTCCTCTGGCATACGTTAACACTCTATAGCAATACAGTGTTAACGTAAGCCAGAGGACTATCTTTTTGCTAGCATTCGCATGCCTTCCTAGGTGATTCACGTACTGACCCGTCTGAATTGATCGTATTCCATGCGCTTATGAATCTTAACTGGGCGTTAATGTACAAACTCTTTGAAGGGAGCCAGGTATATTCACCCACTGATGGAACTAAGAGCAAAGACAATGGGGATAACATCTTCATCAGCGTGAGGGAGGTTGTTTTGTTAAGTCATCACGTTTTATTGTAAAGATTATGGACTGGTTGTATTGTTATGTTTGGCGTTGTGTTGTCAAGCTTATGGACGGATTATCAAGGTTATGTTTTGTTAAGTCATCACATTTATTGCGAAGTTTAGCACTCTGTTGTCAAGCTTATGGACTGGTTGCGTAGTTTAGCGCTCTGTTGTCAAATCTAATTTGTTTGTTGTTAAGCTTATCTGCTGTTTGCATTTAATTCTACTGTTATTGTGAAGCTATCTGTTGTTTAGTCTTTGTATTGTTAGGCTTATGGACTTGTTCACAAGTTTAGATCTTGGTTTGTATTGTTAGTTCCAGCTTTGTCTATATTCTTCTATTGCCCAGATTCGAGCGGAATCAGATAGAAAATGACCAGTTTGTGCCATGTTAGTTCTAAGTTATGCCATGCTAGTTCTAACTTATGTCTTGTTGGTTCTAACTTATACCATGTTAGTTCTAATCTACACCATGTTAGTTCTAATTGTTGTTTTCACTGTAATTTCTCCGCCCGAACTCGGAATGAGGTGATTTAAGATTTATTACTGGAGAAGCGAGGTAGAACTAACATATACAATAGATCCAACACTTAAACTAGAACTTAAAGTTATATGGAGGTGGAAATAACACGAGAACAGCTGTCGTGTTAGTTATAAAATTGTAAGTGTTAGCTGTAGTTTAGCTCGCGTTAGTTCTACCTTATTGTTAGTTCCAGCTTAGTCTATATTGTTCTATTGCCCATGTTAGTTCTAGCTGTCCTCCTGTCAGTTCTATTGGACTTCGTGGTTCAGTTAGAACACAACTATAACTAACATAGGCATTAGAACACAGATAGAACTAACAAAGGCATTAGAACCCACATTTAAACTAGACCTTGCGTTAGCCAACACGAAATATGCTAGACCTAACACGGAAACGG